GAGGCACATAAGCTTATAAAAAATGGCACTGATCTGACGCCAGTATCCATCTTTTTTTTGCGATTTTCCACTGTTTTTTGGACCTTGCTATGAAACACGATATGTGTCCGAAATTTCAAGCAATAGACTTCATATTTGGCACTTAGCTTTGCCCCGTGACGGAACCTATTGAAGATTGGGGGGCTGGAGGGTCGGGAAGTATTCTAAAAAAATAAAAAATCGCGCGTTCAAGGGTCTACAAAAAAAAAACTCTTTACGAGACCAAAAAATTCTTGAACCAGAAGAAGCAGAACTTTTATTCTTGACAATTTTTCAAAAATATATAGGGTGCGCCGCAAATTCAAAAAAACCGAAAAAAGGGTCCCCTATTATTGAAAATTGGTTATAACTAAAAGAAATAAGAACTAGAAGTTCAGATTTTCACGAAATTATATATTATGACATGACGAGTGTCTTTATGTGTTGTCAAAACAATTGTCATGTCATAATATATAATTTCGTGAAAATCTGAACTTTTAGTTCTTATTTATTTTGATAAATGGATTTTCATCAAGTAAAAGCCACCTCATTTCAATTATAACTAAAAGACTATGATTCAGATCTCACTTACTTTTATATTGCGATATAGCCCGCATAGAAAGCAAATTTAGCAGAGAAGTAAAAGTCCGTGTCCACAGTTAAATGGTAGAAATTGGGAGCAATCAAATTTTACCAAGTATTTGTTAAAAATGTTTGAAATTTTTTTTTGGTAATTTTAGCTTTCAGAAAAATATGTTTTCCTCCATAATCGTTCATCCGAATGGCAAAATTCTTTAACGGGCAGACGCAGAAGATTCAGTGCATTTATTTCGGGCATTTTTTCGATTTTATACAGGGTTTTCAAATTATATCACATACGCTGCTCGGGATATTTGAAAAAATCCATATTGAAACTTATTGTCTCGAAAACCATTTACTCTTTTCAAAAAACTCTTGAACCAGGACGCGTGGAAGGTCCAGGGCTATAACCTCTACTTCGAACAATGTTTGTATCATATACAGGATGTGTCGTTTATGGGCAAAAAATCTAAAATATTCTAAAAATGTCCGTTTTTGTGTGTAAATTATTAACGATTATTAAACATGGGATAATTTTATTCGAACAATATCGTAAACCGTGTCGTGAGAGAGTTTCAAGTTTCGTCAATCATACAGGGCGCGAGATATTTGAAAAAATATTATTCGACAACGCTATTATTTGTGCAAAGTTTAATATTTACCGATGTTTGCTGTAACTTTGAAGTTCGACGAGATGTAAAAGACATTTTATACAAGTTGGATGCACAATTAAATTACATCGATTTTGCGAAAGTTCCATAGTGGTCCGCAGGAGCACGATAGAAAAACAATGCGTTTCCTTTTATATAAGGTTGTTCGGAAAGTCATTTCGTTTTTTCCCGTCAGAGGACTTAATTACGTTTTTTCGAAACCAACTTCACACTTAAGCCGCATAACCATTATATGTCTTGAGAGCTGATATTGCAAGGCTTGTGTGTGAAAAAGTTCTATTAATTCTGCGCAGTAGTTTTTGGTTGGTGCCCTTTTAAATATGGAGAGCAGTAAGCAGCATTTTCGTCATATTTTACTTTTTTACTTCGGAAAAGGTAAAAATGCTGTCCAAGCGAGAAAAAAATTGACGGATGTGTATGGAGAAGGCGTGTTAACAGTACGCCAGTGCCAGAACTGGTTTGCAAAATTTCGATCCGGCAATTTTGATGTCGAAGATGCACCACGGTCTGGAAGGCCGGTCGAAGCTGACAAAGATGCGATAAAGGCATTAGTTGATGCAAATCGGCGAATAACCACACGAGAGATCGGTGAGAGATTAAATTTGTCGAATTCGACTGTTTATGGCCATTTGAAAGGCATGGGCTTAACCTCGAAGCTTTGTGTCGTCGCGTTGACGTGTGTGATTCGCTCCTCAAACGTCAAGAAAATGATCCATTTTTGAAGCGGATTATTACTGGGGACGAAAAATGGGTTATATACAACAATGTTAAACGCAAGAGGTCATGGAGCAGAAAAGATGAACCGGCTCAAAGCGTGTCAAAAGCCAACATTCACCAAAAAAAGGTGATGCTCTCCGTTTGGTGGGATGTCAAAGGAATCGTTTTTTTTGAGCTTTTGCCGGACAATACAACGATTAATTCAGAAGTCTATTGTCATCAACTGGACAAATTGAATGATTCACTTAAAGAGAAGAGGCCCGAATTAATCAACAGGAAGGGTGTAGTGTTCCACCAGGATAATGCGAGACCTCACACAAGTTTGGTCACTCGCCAAAAACTTTTACAGCTCGAATGGGACGTACTGCAACATCCACCATTATCTCCAGATCTGGCGCCTTCCGACTACTATTTGTTCCGGTCCCTGCAAAATTTTTTGGATGGCAAAACCTTTACCTCAAATGAAGATGTCAAAAACCACCTGAACCAGTTTTTTGCCAGCAAGGACCAAAACTTTTATGAGAGAGGAATTATGTTACTGCCAGAAAGATGGCAAAAGGTGTTGGACCAGAATGGCCAATATATAATTTAATAAATTATTTATTCATTATACGAAAACTGTCTTTCATGTTCCCCAAAAAAAACGAAATGACTTTCCGAACAACCCAATAATATTAAGCTGCTTCGCGCTACGCGCTACGAACTTGCCCTGCCCAGTGACGATTTTTTGAAAGCAATCTTGCTTGAAAACTGACGTCTTTTTTTTATGAAAGCTACTTCATTATAGAAAAACACACTCCAAGGACAGAAAATACTTGTAAAACACTAATTTTTTATTTCATTAGAGCAAAAACACTCATAAACCTAAAAAATATTAATTTTTAATAACATACATACATTTCTTGATTCGTGGTGTTTTAGTTTTTTAAGTTGTCGTTGTTTTTTTGTGGAAAATTTTACTATAGGAAGAAGCATTTGAAGAACAAAAAAAATTCGAAGAAAATTATTTTTCAAATTATTTTGTCACAGCAAGCGAGCAAAGAATTTGTAAAAAAAAACACATTAATTTAGAAAACATTTTTGGTTCGTTAATTTTTGATGTTGTGGTTAGTAAATGTTTTAGATATTTAGCTGCTTAATCAATGAAGAAGGGCACTCAAAAAACCGTATGTATAAAAAAAGTAAGATGTGTTAAAAATATAAATATAATTTTTTGGAATACATTTCATCAGAACTTATTCGAAAACCGAGAATATACATTTTCGCACCGCTCGAGACTCAAATGCCGTTTACCACACTTGTTGCATAATATACTATTAAAATTATTTTTCTTAACGAATGTAAATCCAAATTAATTATTGCTTTTTTGCAATTTATCGAGGATCAGCATGTCAAATCAGTAAAACACCAACTCAAAGGGCGAAAATTGCAGCAATGAGGGTAACCCTCCCAGGAAACCATGCAATATTGTCTTGAGGGAAATTGTACTGAAGTGGCTGTTACTCGATGAAAATCCATTTATCAAAATAAATAAGAACTAAAAGTTCAGATTTTCACGAAATTATATATATTTACATGACAATTGTTTCGACAACACCGACATTTGATATAAACACGGTGTTGACGAAACAGCTGTCATTTAAATATATTTAACAACAAACACTCATAAACAGTCTTGTTTTGGTTAGTTTCGGGACATAACTACACACGATGTATCGTATGTAGGGAACCAAAATTAACATGAATTAAGTTTTGATCATTTGGCAACGCTGGGTTGTTTGATAGATATGTACCTCTTTTACAATAAATTACCTTATAATATAAAACAATAAACTGTTTTTACAATACTAAGGAGTACGTAAATTTCAAATTTTGAACCTGTGTTATAAATTTATTTCGTGTGTTTTGAACTTTTATTCATGTATTGGTTTATTACCCTTATATATATGTATGACATTTTTTTGACTTGCTACACATACATTTTGTATTCTGTGGTTAAATAAATAAACCTGAACCTAAACGTAAGGTGACGACAAAGCTTTCTTATTCGATGTAGACCGTCGCAGGTGGCTATGATATTTTCATAGAAAAGGTGCGCTATCAATCTCTGAAATCCAAACATTGTTGTTTTCATTTTTGGTGTCGGTATCAATACTTTGTTCTTTCACGAAATGAATGAAATATGGTGACCTAATAGGATCTTAATGATGCCTATATATTTCACATTTAACAAACTGGAAAATAGATATACAAATATTTCCATGTGAATTTACTAAACTTCACTTAAATAGGAAGTTTGGGTAATATGTTTTAACAAGAATTAGAGTCATGTGGGGCAAGAGTGCGCTTTTTTTTTTCTATGCTCATAAAACTGTAATAATTGTACAAAATAAATTGAAATAAAAGTATTTATTTAAAGGATTTATTGATTTAACAATTACGTAACATGAAATTCAATTTACTTAATTGTAATTAAAGAAAAAAAATAAATGTTAGTCAGAATGCGCACACTTACCCCAATATTGGGGTAAACGTGCGCAGCACTGCGGGTAAGTGTGCGCATTTGTAATAATTTAAACCATAACTTGTTACATATAGTTACACCATATTTAATGTTATAAATATTATTTATTATCAATACTTATCATTTTTTACTTCATTTTTTATATTTATATATTAAATATATAATTTTTGACAAATACTGTTTAACTTGATTTTTATCGAGAATAAGGCTTAGAGTAGTTAACAGTTTTGAATAGTTGCTTCATGAGTTTCTGTGCTGTCAGCGTAGGCAAGGCCTCTATATGTCTAGTCATTTTAACTAATCTTAATTTTAATTTTAACGCCCCTCTATCCCGCCCTTTGCTTTTCCGATAGAAAAAGCTGGTTGTTTCGCGCGCTGGTCCCTTCGCGTTGATGTACCGGATTCGTTGTCGCCGTCGCCGCCCGCGATTTTTAAGAAACGGGAAAGACTCGCGCGTTCGGCGCGTTTTCAGCGACACTCGCCTGCAACAACGTGCGGCGAAAAGATCGCAGCGTGCCGGGCTCCATACCCATACGAACGACACACGCCGTTCATTTGTTTTTGTCGGCGACGCGCTGACATCGAGCACGCGCCGGACGATGACGATGATTGACGGGCAGCCGGGTTTCTGATCGGACAGTAGACGCGGTTATAATTTTCGGCCGTCCGCGATGGACGGGCAAGAGGCGAAATTCAGCGAGATTTCGGAAAATATCACGGGTGACGGTGACGCCGCCAACGTGACGATCGACTCGTTTTATTTTTACGAGGTGAGTGGTTTTTGGCGATTTTTTTCCATTCGTAGCGCCACGATAGAAAATATATATGATATGAAAATATATGATTATTTAATTTTTTTACAATTCTCTCATTGTTTGCAAAGTTAACGCTTTAAAAAAGAAATAGTCGAAAATGTGGTTTATTTAAAAAGCATAAGCTTTTCAAACAATTTTGTGATTGATTTTTTTTCCGCAACGCCATGATAAAAAATAGAAAACAAGTAATTGAAATTTCAAAGAAAAAGATAGGTAAATGATTTTTTAATATCTAAATTTAAAAAAAAATGTTATTCTGTTTGACGAAGTAACCTTCTTTAAAAAATATAGTATTTTTACAACGCTCAAGGGATTTTATGTAGTTTAAATAATTTCTTTGCGAAAAATATTTTTTTTACTTTATTATTATAAATTTTATTTCCGAAACATTTTTATTTTTTTAATTTTTTATATTTAGTTTTTCGTGACAATTTTCTCATTGTTTGCAACGTTAAAGCTTTTAAAAAGAAATAATCGACAATGTGATCTATTTGAAAAAATATAAGCTCTTCAAACAATTTCGATATTTTTTCATTCGTAGCGCCACGATAAAAAATAAAAAATAAGTAATTGAAATTAAAGTAACGTTTAAAGAAATTGTGTTTTTGGAATGATTCAGGGATTTTGTAGTTTAAATTAATTTTGTTCCGAAAAAAAAAATTTTTATATTATTATATTTATTTAACACTTTTCGTGACAACTTTCTCATTGTTTGTAATTGTTTTAAAAATAAATATCGACAATATGATTTTTTGATTGATTTTTTTTATTCTTTACGATAGGGTAAAAAATAAAAAACAAGTAATTGAAATTTGGGAAAAAAAAGGTAAATGATATTTTTATATTGAAATTGAAAAAATGACATTGTTTGACGAAGTAACTTTGAAAAAAAAGGTTTTTTAGAACGCTCAAGGGATTTTATGTAGTTTAAATAATTTTTTTCCGAATTTTTTTTTTTTTGCGTTATTATTATATATTGACAATTGACAATAACGTCACGAAAAAAAATAAAAAATGCGTAATTGATATTTCGAAAAAAAAAGGTAAACGATTTTTTAATGTCTAAATTAGAAGATCAATTGTTATTCTGTTTGACGAAGTAACCTTTAAAGAAATATAGTATTTTTAGAACACTGATGGGATTTTATGTAGTTTAATTTTTTTTTTCTAAAAATATTTTTTGCGTTGTTTTTTGGTTTTCGAATACTTATGAAACATGTAATTTTTTAAAAGCTTGCAATATTGGCCAAATCGGAAAAAATAAAAATATATTTTGGCCTACTTTTCATGTGCTATAAACTTGAAGAAAATATATTTTATTTTCTTATAAAAAAAACATCTAAATTAGCCTCTTGATGGGGTAATATCTTAAATATTTTGCGCTCGAAGTAAATTTCGAAAAGCGAATAGTAATGTGTGATTTTTCTACAAAAAAAAATTAACGACAAAACACAAAATATTAAAAAATCGATCGATTTATCGGTATCGATTTATGTCAATGACAATCACAGGTTTAGATTTTCTAATTTTTCGAATTTCAATAATTTTACTAAATAATTAAAAGGAACTTTTCAAAGTTTTTAGGAATAATATGTATTTCAATTAAATGAATTAATTTAATTAATATATGAATAACGGAGAAAATCAATGGGGTGATTTTCATCAGATGGGCGGTAATATTGGCGGTGTAGTCGAATAGAATCTAGTGCAATAGGAATTTTAAATATATAAGAACTCATTGATCATCTGTTTCCATATCGTTTTGTTTTTATATACATATATCTGTCTAGGTCTAAAAAATAATCGCTCTTCTACTAGACAAGCGTAATTGTTGCAAATGCGTATGTACAGTCCACAAGAAGTTTGTCGCCTTTCTATCTGCAATTATTCTCTATTGATACCTTTATCTCTTAACATCTCGTCCACTACTTTAAGAAAGCCCGATAATGCTGGAAAACTCCTTTGTTTACTATTGAAGATTAGAGGAAGCAATGAAAGATGGCAGATGCTCCGCCCAAGATTGTATACTTATACAGGAAGGCAAAAATATGGAAAAACCACCAATTCCATCATCGACTGATTTTTCAAAGAAATTTTCACAGGCTACGTCAGTTGTTTATACAAACTTGCTTGGCTTCTTCAGAGCTTAACTGAAATTGATTTTTTTTTTAAATTTTTGCACTACTTACAGAATAGTGTAGTTTATGCTCTAATTAAATGATGGAAAAACCACTTAATAGATCGCGTCACCTGCATTTTCTTGTTAGTGACATATTTAAGGTTTAAAAACGAAAATTGATCAAATTAATTAGAAACATATGGGATTACACCAGCTAATTATTAGACTTCACACTAATGTCAACTTAAGGACGAAAACAATAACAATTTGATAATTAATAACGTGATGGTATTAATGATATTTTTTTCGTCTTTTTTGCGATAATATGGCAACAAAAACGCCTTTTCTACTAACATCACACTCTAAATACGCGTTTGTTTTATCTTCTCATCTATAGCGCCATATTTATATTTATTTCTCCTCCCTCCAAACATCCGCATAAGCGATTCCGGAGCAAACGCTTTTGTCTAGTTTATTGCGTTTTTATTAAATTTTGTTTATATTAATTTCGTTTTGTTCCAGCTCAAACCGCTCAAACAATTTTTACTTTCCACGGTGTTCTAATAACAAAAAAAAGTACCGAAGCGAAGGCAAAAACAGACGCGATTATTACAAGCGCCGGAGCGAATTTTCCCCAATTTTCAAAGTTTCTCGTCTTTTGTTGCGAATGGGTTAGGACCCGATAAATTTTTCGCGAAACCATAAAACGCGGCGATGCGGCTGGTGATAGTTTTTCGGAACCCCCGGTCCGTGTCGCTATTCCGACAAAGTTGATGATTAATTGCGATTTTATACGTGACAAACGCTCTGGATATACTGGAATATCGGGGTCATCGATAGATACGGGGCGATTTCCAGTGTCTGGACTGTATTTTGTAGATACAGGGTGTCTCACGGTCGATGGAACATTTGACGTTTTGCTGAAAATTTAGGTTTTTGAATCCGCTCTATCGATATAAAATATTTTCAGTATCGCAGCGTTGCCGCTTCTACTGAAAAGTACCGATAACTTTGATATTTCAAATAGGACATCCTGTATATTGTTGTTTTCGTCTACGCTACCTCTTTTTGAACATTTTTCTATAATATCTCCCTATTTCGAGATATTAATATTAACAATATTAATTCATTAATGGGGTAGCCGACTATTATGGAAGCAGTTTGCCAACGTCCAGAGGACTAGTTTCCTGTAGAAGAGTACTTTCTAAGATTTACATAATTATTAATTGAAAAGTGTATAATGAAAAAAAAAACGTTACTGAGTAGTAATTATTTTTCTATCGATTAAAAACATTGTTATTGGTATTTGTAAGGTTTTCATTAATACTTTCAATAAATTAATGATGATTCGGTTATAATACCCCTGGTATTACGCAAAGGGCTAAAAATGTACAAATAACCAGAATTTACAATTATTAAAAGAAAAAAACGAAAAAAAAAGTACCCATACCGTAGGTTTTGCCGCAGCCAGGTCTAAGTTTTTGTAAAATTGCAGCTGCTCGCATAGATCGCAAAAAATTTCATAAATCGCGGGTGGCGCTTTAAGATGTTTTGTTTCATTTTCGCCAGTGCCAGACGATATGCAGGGTGTTACAAAACCATGCGTCAAACAGCGGGAGATTCGTCACCCACAGGGTGTTCAAAAGTAACTCGAGTTAAAAAAGTTGAGTGTTTAGGGTCTTATTTAAAGTAAATAACAAAAATTCCAAAAGCGTCACTGGTGTACCGTGCGTCCAATTTATTTTGATTGAACATTGTAACTGGCTGTAACTTTTTTGTTTTTAGAGATACCAAGGAGGAAAACAAAAAAACAAAATGTAAAGCTAGTAGACAAGTTTTTTCCCAAGTGACGTATAAAACAAAACACTATCAATTTTCTGACATTAAGCCTACATCATATATTTTAAATGAAACACCCTGTATATTATATATGTGTTGAATAGAATATCTTATTCCGATTACAATGATCTAACAATAATTATTTACAAATTAAAGAAAAAAAAAAAGCACTAAAAACGACCAGCCCCACTAAAGTAAAAAATTCTTTAACTATTCTAAATACTGCTGCATTTCTCATATCTCCTAAATGATTGATTGCCTCTGAATTCCTTTGCCGAGTCCCCAAAAGAAAAAATCCATTAAAGTTAAGTCGGAACTATTGGCTGGCCAATCCATAGTTCCGCCGTCCCCTGTCCAACCCCTGGAATATTTCATGTCAAGAAAATTTTTAACTTGCATTTATAAATATCGGACACGATATATGCCCACTTATGACAACACACTATACATTAATTGATTGATATCCCTGGGTTTTTATATCGTGTATTTGTTTAGTATTATTTAAAGACCGATATGGCGTATTTTGTCTATTACATAAAATGTTTTTCAAAAAGTTGTCTATTTAAAAAATCCAAACCAAACTGCATCCTCCTTTGACATTCTTCTGCACTTAGTTGTGGAGTTTTATGAAATTTAAATGCATTATATTTATATTCTGCCAAAACTGAATGCATTGATTTCCAAGAAATACCTGTATACTTAAAGCATATCATTCTTTTCACTGATGCTATAGTCGCGAAAAACCATTTTTAGAATAATGGCTTGGGCAATAATTCAACCATCACATTTGTCAACCATTTGTCAAATATAAACATATTTTTATTTGTCAGTCAGGGCACTCTTTGAAATTTTCCTAATTTTGCCGATTTGTCAAAAAAGGGTGGACTAAAATATAAAGTGCGGTACATCATTGTAATAAGAACCAGAATAGAATACTATTCAACACATATAATATACAGGGTGTTCCAGAGAAAAAAGTATGATGTACGCTTATATG